GTATTGCTGAACAAATGGGAAGGTAAGCATTTTTTTTTATCTAGTAAGTAATCCTTTAATAATAATTAATCACCCTTTTTTTTCTTTTCTTTCACATTTTTTATCCCTGTCTATTTTAATCAAATATTAAACCTCTGTTTAATTACTATATAAGTATTTAACATTGTAAATATCCTTAAATACTCTTTGTAAATTTGCCCGACCGAGTGCAAGTTAATTAAAGTAAAATAAAATAAAATTAGGAAGCAAATTTATAAGTATAAAGAATATTATCATTTACTACAAAATATGCACTTAAAATTTAATATCATTTAAATTAAAATGCTTATTAGATACAATTATAGAAAAAGGGTATTTCTTAAATTGTTTTTATGTGTATCGTGTGATAAATGTTGGTCTACCTAAAACTTTCTAGAAGCATTAACTGGCATTTCATAAACATTGCAATACAAAATTGGCTTTAAAAATATCTTTATGCTGAAATACTTAAGTCTGTAAACGACTCCTAATTGGTTTTTAATTTAGACATTTTGAAATTATACCAAAAAATACTTGATACAAAAACTAACACTGCTTAACATGAAAAAATATGCGATGCACAACACTGACTGATCTGTTTTGGTCAAACGCTCAAACTCTGTTCATATCGGTAAATTGACAAATTATTATTTCTAATCAATAACGACCAATTTTAATTTTATCCTTTTAAATTGTCCCCCAATTGCCCTTATTATTATACACTTCATACTCAAAAATATAATTTGACTCATCTATGTGACTGGAAAAATACAAGAAATAACCAAAATATACAAGACAAGGTAAATAACGTTAGAATATGCAAAATATTTCAACTACAGTCTTATTTTAATAAGAATGATCTAAATTGGGGACATTTTTTATCAGATTTCAAATAGCTTATTCTAATAAATATATACATATATGAATAAACCTATTTCCTAATTATCAGTAGGTATTGATAACTTTTTTTTTAATATTTTAGAATACTTCAGAGAACATCGATATCGACCAACATCAAAGAACGTTTAGATTTTTCATGTGCATTATTTGGTCCAGATGGTGGATTAGTATCGAATGCACCTCATATCCCTGTGCATCTAGGTGCCATGCAAGAAGCTGTTCAGTATCAAGTAATTTTTTACCTATTTATTTATTAACCATTCAATTCAACATATGTATGTAATACATAGTTTAAAATTTTACTAGATTAAATCAATTGGAAATGAGATAAAAGAAGGTGATGTGATTCTTAGCAACCATCCAAAAGCAGGTGGTTCTCATTTGCCAGATCTTACTGTGATAACTCCTGTGTTCTATCCGTGTGTAAATAGAGTTAAATATTTTATTAAGTTGTTTACAATTTTTATTTTTATTTTTCAGTGGTCAATTAAAACCTGTATTTTATGCTGCAAGTCGAGGACACCATGCAGACATTGGGGGTATAACACCAGGATCGATGCCACCACATTCTAAATCATTGTCAGAAGAAGGAGCTCAGTTTAGAAGTTTCTTCTTAGTTCGTAGTGGACATTTCTGTGAGGAAGAAGTTACCAATGCTCTTATGGCTCCTGCTTCATTGCCTGGATCTTCTGGCACTAGAAACCTCAAGGATAATTTATCAGATTTAAAAGCACAGATTGCTGCGAATCAAAAAGTAAGTACTTTAATATTTAATATTTTTTTAATTAAATAGTTTCATTTGTAACAGTTTATTTTACTTAGGGTATTTACTTAGTCACTGAACTCATAAATTCTTATGGATTAGATGTTGTTCAAGCGTACATGGAACATATACAAAAGAATGCAGAAATTGCAGTTAGAGACATGTTGAAAAACATTGGTAACGCTAATTTATTAGCTCACGGATTGAACACATTGGAATCCGTTGATTATTTGGATGATGGATCTGTTATAAAACTATCAGTTCAATTAAATGTACAAAACGGAGAAGCCATATTTGATTTTAGGTAATTAGAGTATTTTACTTATAATTTAATCTTCGATGTTCTTTCATTTAGTTATTTTTTATAGCGGAACTAGTTATGAAGTTTGGGGCAATTGTAATGCTCCAAAAGCTATTACATTATCAGCATTAATATATTGTTTGAGAAGTATGATTGGTTACGATATACCATTAAATCAAGTAATTTTTATTTTTACCATCTTAAAAAACTCATTTACATTTATTTCCTGTTGTTTCTTAGGGTTGCCTTAAACCAATCAAAGTAATTATTCCTTCTGGTACTATACTTGATCCATCAGAGAATGCCGCTGTTGTTGGTGGTAATGTATTGACTTCACAACGAGTTGTGGATGTTGTGTTAAAAGCATTTGGTGCGGCTGCTGATAGTCAAGGTTGCATGAACAACATAACATTTGGCCAAGATGATTGGGGTTACTATGAAACTGTTGCAGGTGGTGCAGGAGCTGTAAGTTACAAAACTAAAGTGTGATTTTCTGGAAACCATATCTTATTTAAACATCATTAAATATTAATTATTAGGGTCCTACTTGGATTGGTCGTAGTGGGGTTCATACTCATATGACAAATACTCGTATAACAGATCCTGAAATATTAGAAAAACGTTATCCTGTGTTTTTAACTACATTCACATTACGTGAAAAGTCCGGGGGTAACGGCAAATATTGTGGTGGTGATGGCGTTGTGAGAGAATTACAATTTAGATCTCCAGTGACTTTGTCAATACTGACTGAAAGGCGATCTTTTGCTCCTAATGGAATCAAAGGTATACATTTTTCTAGTTAATATTTTTGCTACGTATAAAAATATATTATTCTTTTTCTAAAAGATTAATATTATTTGTTTGTATGAATCATTTGTTCAAATAAAATAAAATCTTTTTCAGGAGGTGAAAATGGGCAAAAAGGCGAAAATCTATTAATAAAATGTGATGGCAGAAAAATTAGACTAGGTGCTAAAACTGCAGTCGACATTAATCCTGGTGTAAGGTTTTCGATAACTTATGCAAATGATAAATTTAGTATGTTATGCAATATATTCTCTTATTTCATGTTAATTAATTTCAGGACACGTTTTTATTATTGACTCCTGGTGGCGGGGGATACGGACTGCCATCTGATGATAACAACATTGTAACAGTGAAGAAGCCTATTTGTAGCTCAACTTTAGAACGAGGATCTGGCTATAACTACCGTATGCTGCAAGAATCTGTTTAGAAGCAAACAATTTTTATCTTCCCATTTAATTTATTAAATTGTATTCATATTTGATCAGTCTACATTTTATAACGTTTATTATAATTTTCCATCCAACTCTATGTCTTGTCAAACCATTCTACTTATTCTTTCTTACTTCAAATAATAGTTCTATAGTTTAATACTTTTAAGTATTTAAATTTAAAATCTCAACCATGATTTTTAAATTTACATTGTTACCAAAACACTGTTTAAAGCATCTAACATAAATGTGATAGAATGTGATAAATTGAATACATTATTTTTATACTAATACAATAATGAAAATATTTATAGTTTAATGATTGTTAACTAGATATTGCTCATTTGTATAAATTTTTCAATTCAATGTGTTTAATACATGCTGGATTTATTATAACCCAAGATTATTGATATCAAAATTATTGTTTAAATCATCATACAAATATATGTGCCTACTTATGTTATTTTTTTGTTGCTCTTCTTTTGGTATTTTTTTTTTTTATTCAACCTTCTTAAATACCGAGAGATTCGAGAGGCTGCCTTACTTAATATTGTGCCACAAATAAATTAATGAAATGATAAATAAAAAAATGAAGAGTAATGGGAATCTTCACCTGATTCTGATAGTTCCTGGATAATAATAAATAATAATAATAACAATAATCTGTATTTACTGAAATAAATTGACAGTATCAATATGTAGTAAGTAAACGGCAGATGTATAAATAAACAAGAATTATATAAACAAAAAATATAATTATTATATTATGCTATTAAAATTAATTTATGAAATAAAAAATAATACTAACTGAATAAAATATTTGACAAATCTAATAATGTAGTATACTTAGTTCCCGTTGACAGGGACATTTCATAGGAGGGTACAACATATATTTTGATTGAACAGATGAGAAAATACCGATTTTTTTTTAAAACTAATTGGGTTTATCCTAAAATTTAAGCACTTAAGAATTTCAGCTATTCGGGACAATCAGTAATATTATTTAAACAATCATTTTCAGTATAAAATATTTTTATAGTGATTATTTTAAACAATCTACAGACATTATCATATTATCCAGAATGATAAATTATATATCATGTATTTAAGGTAACTAGTGATATTAATAGTTACTTATTTAGACTTTAATATTTATATATAATGCAATTTTCAATGGATTAACAGTTAAATCATTGATTACAAATACTATTAAAAAAAAAATACTTTCTGTAATCAATGGTACAACGCAAGGTTTATAGATAATACAGGTTGCCTCAAAGTCAAGTAAACAAATCGATCACCCCGCACTATTCCTTATCTACTGACGTCATTGAAGTATAAAATTCGCTCTCTTATTCAATGATTATGATATTATCATATGTGGTTCACTAATATAGGTACTTAACTAAAAATTGAAGTGTTATGTGATTTTAATATGTTTGAGTATTAAGTTTTAATATTTAGGGACACTACTGTACCTATATAATTAATAAAATAGTAAATGCCTTAGTTGTTTCTNTCTATATTTTCTTCTATAGCCATAGTGCCATACTCGTAGAAAAATAATACTCAGAGTTGGCTACTCATAAAGTATAAATAGAATTAACAGTTTGTTTATTCGTACTCTGTGGTTTGTATACTTCAATGACGTCAGTGCGTTATCTTCTCCCACTCCCAAAATTTCAAAATTTCTATATGAGGCAACCTGTATTATCTATAAACCTTGGGTACAAGTGGTACAACGTACATCATATTATCACAAATACATTTTACTTATTGATCAATGTCCATTCGAAAATGTGTCACTAATGCATTGAAATAAATTGAAATGGACTTAGCACTACTCCTGGAGGCTGTAGATTTGAGATTTATAATTTGTGTTATGTCAACATTTCACAACAGCGTACGTACGCCGTACAGACGCAGTTATGTAAAAAAAAAAAAATGAATAAAACATTAAACAAGATCGAGAGTGTGGTACAAAATAATTTAAATTTGACGCCATGACTGTTCTAGGTTGCCTACCATGATCCACATTATTGCAGTAGCACTACCAGTACAGATTAAAGATATTCTTAATTTTTTAATTCTTTAGTCTTCAGTCAATCAGAATCGGTCGTGTCGAGCGCAATTTCCGGTTTCTAACGTCGGCAGTCAGGACTCGGCACTCGTCAGTGGTAGTACACTAGTACCTACCTGCTTTTCAAAGTAAGTATATATTGTATGATAATTGAATGATGCATTAATCGACACAATGTCATAATATAACGAAATATTATAGTAGGTAGTTTTCTAAAACTCAATTACACAACAAGGAAAGTCTGGGTGACTGGATGTACTGTGTAATCAGTAAAAATCATTTTAACAATATTTTTGATTTCTAACAGGTATACCTACATTATAAAATATTTAAATATGATAGTACCCGAAGGCCACTGGCCATTATTAATTTTCTACTTACTAGTGTCAAAAATCAGTTCTTCCAAAAGTTATACTACCTACTGGTAATTCATCAGGTAAATATAGTAATTATTGTCCACCGAAAAATTGGCCGCCTTCCGGTATTATCATTTTAAAGTATTTGATAATATTATATTGTTCTGTGATTGTACAAACGCAGAAAATATAGATATAAAGCCGTGTACCGCATACTCCGTGTTGAGCATTGTCTATTTTTTTATAGATAAAAATAATTTCAAGTTTATTTTTATCTATCTATTCTTCAATATTTATTTAAATAAAATTAAATATCTGGATCATTTTTTGGGACTACAAATTTGATTTTAGATTCCGAGTGGAGCGAAAAACGTATTGATTTTACAATGATGTGTGTTTTATTTTCGGTCTATCAACTTTTGAAGCTGTAAAAAGGCACAGATTTTTCATATCAGCAACTTTTCTGTTAAGAAAATGAATCTATTTTGTTCTCTTGGGATCATAAATTGACAGTTATTTTTAAAATTGTCGGGAAAAATCAAAAAAGAAAAATTAGCATTTTTACGCAAAATAAATGTTTTCAGACTCAATTTTTTGTTAGGTACGACTACAAATCTAATAACTTTAGATAATTTAAATTATAATCAAATTTAATTCATTTTTCCATACTTGATAATATGTTCAAAATGTTTTGCCTCTTATTGAGTTTTAAAACTATGAGAAGTTTTCGGTTTTTTTTCAATTACTATCGATAAATAATTTTTGCTCGAACAAAAAACTTGCAAAAAATATAATGTAATACAAGATACCATATAAGCTGTAAATAGAGTACCTAATAAAAAAAAGCTGAGGTTAAGTTTTCAATAATTTTCCCTATTATTGTTATCAGCAAAAAAAAAACTGTAATAACTCATTACAGTTAATATTTTTAATTTTAATAGATGTTAAATTCCGAGAGGAGTGATGCTCGTAATGATTTTACAATAATGTTTTGTTTTGTGGAAGAGTACTGTATATACACTACACGTTTCAGTACTTTTCAAAAGAATCGAGAAAAACAGGAGTATTTACTCCAACACATTTTTAGTATTGTCGTAATTCAAAAATAATTAACTGGAAATCATATTTTAAATCTCAAAGTATTTTGGATTTTTTGTACTATTTTATGGTATTTTCTCTTTTTATGTTTTTTTCGATGCGCGTATGATTGGATGTGTATTGTGCGTAAAAACCTTGAATATTAGTTTTATCACTCGTTTTAAGTGACACGTTCTAAAACTATAGCGCCTTGCAGCCTTCATACGCTCCAAATTTATGTCCTGAACACTTTTATTACATTGAAACAGACATAATATTATTATTATATTCGACTGATGTCCGCGGGGCCGGCGTTACACAATTTAATTTTGTCGGGGGGGNGATCAAGTATTGCCGACTCAAATTTAATTTATGCCGACTCAAAGTTTCTAAAAAAAAAATACGGGAAGTATAAAAATTCCTGGTTTTTCTGTGTTAAGATGAAGTAAAATAGTTAAAACAAAAACAAAATATAGAACTAAAACATTTTAAACCATTTCATGCACAGTTAAAATATTTGTTACTTGTATATTTTCATACAGATGTAAAGATACAATAGGCTGTCGGAACTATTTTAAGATCTAAAAAAATAAGTCGTGTACGAATATAAATCAATCAGTGTTTGTCAATAACTCAAAAACTTAAGAAAAAAATAAAAAAAATTTTTAATTTAGCAGACGGCAGATGGCACTATGGCAGTACATCATTATTTAACAAAATAGATTATAATATACTGGTACTTGAGATAGGGATTGCCGAATGCCGATTAGCGATGGCAATGATATGCCGACGGACTTAACGTTGTACAATGTACAAAAACAAATATATATTATACAATTATAATACGGGTCATTACTCATTAGCCGACAATATCAGTCGGCAGTATTTAGATTTCTAAATCGGTAAATTCTCAACTGCCGACTGCCGGGACCCGTTCCTATATAAAATTTTTTTTTTTTTCAAAAAATATAATTTCCAACGGACAGCGGCTCCCTGAAATTGCCGACTGATAATTACAAAAAAATTCAACTGGGGGGGTGTGACGACCCATCATACCCCCATTGCTGCCGGCCCTCGATGTCCGACACACTCAGACTCCTACCGAAATCTACGACAGCTGCAGCGTGGTGACTTTCGCGACACAAAGACACACATTGCTGCGACGGCGTTAGGCAGGGCACACACTGAAGCTGTGCGAAACGGGCGGCTACGTTATTGTAGTGGGCAGTGGCAGTAGTTTTTTTCCTCAGTGGGGACTTGGGATCTACGATGGGCTATGTTAGTGGCTTATCTACTAAAACATGTTATACTAGTATATATTTATGATTTATACCAGTATTATAAAATTGTGTCCCTATATGATGCTACAATGCTACATCTCATCTAATAATATATAAACATCTCGTGTCACGGTGTTCGTGGTCACACTCTTCCGAAACGGCTTTAAAACGATTTTAATGAAGTTTTTTTTTACCTATTTAGTAGGTATGAGAATAGATCGAAAGTATTTTTCACCCTCCTACCCCAACCCCCCATTTTTTAATTGCGATTTTAGAGATTTACGAAAGAAATTTTTGTTTATAAATACAGTGAGTTAAAATGAAAAAAAAACGAAATTACACATACATTTTTTTTATTTAGCATTCAAGGTTAACATTTTCACAAACTTAATCACGAAAATTTAAAAATTATCTTGTATCTAATTAAAAATTCATAAAATGTTTAATATTTATACCTAAGATTTACAATTCTAATAAAAATTTCTTCGGAAATTTTCAAAATATATGCTTGTCCAAAAACCTTTAATAATCAATAATAATAATGTAATAAAAACATTTTTTTGGGCAAAAATTCAACCTACCGTATTACCTTAATACCTATATTTTACAGGTTGTATAATATGTATATTACTGAAATTGAAAAAATCATGACTAGTCTAGGCGTCCGGACCCCTCCTCCTAATTTTTTAAATGTCGAACAAGTTTTTATATTTTAATACAAAAATGATAAATATCCAGTATCTATATAAAAAAATGTCGGACCCCATCTGAATTTTTTTTTCAGTTACGGCCTGCCATGGACCATGGGTATAATAAAATATTAAAATATACTTATTGATATAGTATAATTACTTAATATAAATTATAGACTAACAGACCAGAGACCAATCGAAATTGTTTTTCGTATGCAATGATTTATTATTGAATTAAAACTTTACACATATATTATATCCCCAACAAAAATATAACAGTGAAAAAAACCGAAGTTCCAAACTCCCTCCTAAAAAAGTTGGCCTATCAAAGTAGTGAAATCTACATTGTGGCCAAGTCTGCTATTTTTTAATTCATAACCTCAATGCACTCCTACTTTAAAGAGCAACACTTCTCTTTTATTTGTATTGTTTAACACTTCATCAGTTTCTGAATTAGAAATAAACTAGACTTGGCCCCAATGTAGATACCACTACTTACTATGATTCGCTGTCTTTTTTGAGAAGAAATCTAAACCTTTTACTTTTTTCTGAATCTTCTTCTCCCCATCACCCTCGTAAGTCATAAGTGAGCACATTCGATAATGATGTTTTATTCCTCATTCAGAAACTGACCAAATGTTAAACAATACAAATAAAAGAGAAGTGTTGCTCTTTAATGTAGGAGAGCATTGAGGACTGAGGTTATGAATTTAAAAATAGCAGACTTGGCCACAATGTAGATTTCACTACTTTGATAGGCCGACTTTTTTGGTAGGGAGTTTGGAACTTGGCCTTTTTTCACTGTTATGTTTTTGTTGGGGATATCATTTATTTTTGCGGGCTCCAGCGTCGTGGACGACGTGTTGTTATTATTTATTTATTTTTAATTTTTTTAAATTAATTTTTTTATTATTTTTTTTAATTTATTTTTTTATACGTCTTAGATTTTCTCTTTTAAGACCGTTTGGGTTTCTATTGAGGAGCTGAGAAATTGGACTCTTGAGCGTTGTCAATACCAGGCAAAGATACCCAAGTACGGTCTTTTATTTAAAAGCTGCAATTAATAGCTGAATATTTGAATAAAATAAATGTTCGAAAACATGATTATGTTTTATAAATATATATATATATATTATATAATTCAACTACAAGCAATTTCGTATTACCATATTGTAACTCTGTTTGAAAGTAAACGTTTATGCCTGCTAAGCGCGCCACTTCATACGTTTAGAAATACACACTGGAGAGACATTCGTTTTGAAAAAATTCAATTTTTAGATTTTTCCCTTTAGTTACACTGTAAAATCTACCGTTGTGCCAAATTTCACGTGTCTACCTATACGGGAAGTGTCTTATAATTTTGATGATCAGTGAGTGAGTGAGTGAGTGAGTGAGTGAGGGAGTGAGTAACAATATTGCAAATTTTGAAATCCTGCCATTTTGAAATGGCACTATATTAAGGGCTCATTTTCTTACAGCGTCCTAAGCTACTAGAGGTTTATCTGTGTTTTAAATTTCAAAAGTTTATCTTAAGAAGAAACAGAGATATATGGGTTAAAAAAAAATGGCGATTCGGGTAAAGATACACTGGCATTGCTGTAACTTGGCCTGGCGCACTGCCGTGCGCTCAGATATTTATATTATTACAATGACTCAGTCAATCATAAGGTACACTATACAGTCTACGACTTGTGCACAGCAGAGTGATTACCTACTTACAAATTGTTTATTATATTATAATATATTATATTTATATTATTCTTTATCACAATCGTCTTCCATTTTTAATTATTATTGTTGAAAATATTTATTTGTTGTCTTTTTTTTTACAGATGAAGCAATTGTTCTCTGTCGTTTTACTACTTTTGTTTGTAAGTTATTGTTTATCAGCTAATATATTAGCATTTTTGCCTACATTTGCTAGAAGTCACTATGGTGGATTCCAACCACTATTAAAGGAACTAGCTGTAAGGGGTCATAATGTTACAGTTTTATCGCATTTTGCTCTCAAAAATCCACCACCAAACTATCATCATATTGATGTTTCAAAAGAAATACAGAATGACAATAGTAATTATTTATTGATTTTATCAGTTCACTTACATTTATACACTAATTTATTATTTTATTTCCAGATTTTAGCATGTTATCTATTGCACCATACTTAAAGCCATTGGTTATTCCTATTGGCACTTTGTTTTTTGGAAATCAAATAACATTAGAAACATTGAACAATACCAAAGTCAAAGAATTTATTCATTCAGATGGCTATCAATTTGATGTTGTAATTTTTGAAAACTTCCAACATGAATGCTTTGTATCAATGAGCCATAAGTTTAGTGCTCACGCAATCCAACTATTCCCAGCTACACCAACCGCTTTCAGCTCACAATGGTTTAGTCAACCATTTAATCCTTCTTACATTCCAGATCCTAATTCTGGGTACAAAGATCACATGTCTTTATTTGAGCGAACAATAAATTTCCTTGTAACGTGTCTCCAATTTTTTTTATTCCCAATATTTTACATGCCCAAACAAAATGAAATCATGTTGAATTATTTTAATTATACTGGTTCGGAATTTAGACCATCGTTGGAAGAAATGACAAAAAACATTTCATTAACACTAATAAACACACACTTTACTTTAGGAACAGCCAGGCCTCTTGTTCCAAGTTTTATTGAAGTTGCTGGAATGCATTTAAAGCCTGCTTCAAAACTACCTAAAGTAATATTGTATTACAAAATATTATTTCTCTCTTACTAAATCATATATATTTTGAATGTTAATTTAATTTAGGATTTACAAGAGCTTATGGATAACTCACCCGATGGAGTTGTATATTTTAGTTTTGGATCAGTTGTCAAAGGTAGTCATTTGCCCATGCATCAAGTAAAATTGTTCTTGCGCCAACTAGGCCAAATTAAGCAAAAAGTCTTATGGAAATGGGAATCAGATGATTTACCAGAATTGCCACCAAATGTAGTAGTTAACAAATGGTTCCCACAAGTCGACATTCTTGGGCACCCTAATTGTGTGCTTTTTATTACTCATGGAGGTATACATAGTGTAGAAGAGGCAGTGTACTATGGAGTTCCGATGTTGGCCATATCTATTTTTGGAGATCAACTATATAACTCAATAATGATGGAATCTAGAGGAGCTGCTATACGCTTAAAATACTCGGAACTTACTGAAAATCGTTTTGGCCATAATTTACATGAAATGCTTAGTAATACATCGTAAGTAAATCTTATTGATGCAATAATATTATTTAAGTACCATAATACATTCTTTATAATAGGTACAAACAAAATGCAGTTAAGTTATCTAAAATATTTCACGATCAACCAATGAAACCATTGGACAAAGCAGTTTACTGGATTGAATATGTTATACGCCATAATGGTGCACATCATCTAAAAACTGCTGGAAACCAACTTAACTGGATCCAGTTTTTGTCAATTGATGTAATTCTTGTGCTCTTAACAACTATATTTTTATTTTTAATTATTTCATTTTATACCATGAAAAAAATGTACAAATGGTTCATTAGCTACCGTGAGTACCGTGCAGAAACTAATGATGATAAAAAAAAGAAATAAAAGGTAAATAATTGTAGTTATTATTTAAGTAAAATATAATATGAGTAGTTTTTTCAATTAAACTTTTACAACAATTTGGTTGTAATTTAAATCAAAGATATAACTATTGCCAGTTAATAGGTAGAACTTTTTAGGTGTTTTCTTCTTACATTTTAATTTAACTCTAGGCCTATATAAGCAAAAAAATGTTGTGCTCTCTAAAAAGCAATATTTGATGTGCAAAACAAAAAATCAAGAAATGAAGTAAATATTATTTAAATTGTTTTCGGCTTAATAAAGCTATCTCTGTTAATTTTAATTTTGATAAATACATTTTTTTTTATTTTAATTTGTACTTATAAGTATTGTGTCTTATGGTTTTATAATATTATTAAGAGGACTTTATTACTTCCAGCAAATCAAGTTTAATTCCGTTAGTTTAAAATTAAAATAAATTAACCTACTATGAGACTTGATGGTAAGAACATTATCTATGTTCCTTTGTTGGTTTTTTACAATAGTTCAGCTTTTTAGCAAGTTATAATACACTGTAACTTAAAAATGCTCATAACTCATAAATCACTTAAAAATTGAAATATCATAAAAAACCAAAACCAAAACACAGGTCATTCACATCTTACCATCAAGTTTCATTCTAATTTTCTAAGATTCCCTCTAATTTTTAAACGAATAGAATTCAACGTGATTTACTGAACCTAAATTTGGCATGTTACGTGTTTGTAAGACAAAGACAACACATGCAGGTTATTCTCTTAAGTTTTTTTTAAAAAATTTTTTTGTTTTTACTCAATTGTTAAACGAGTTTCTTTTTTTATAAATGTAATGTGTATCATATTAACATTGTTTCGTTGTGTAGAAGTCTATGATTAGGAATAAGTTCTATATCATGTCCTAAATTTCCATGTCCATTTCGTTTTGGTGAAAATGTATCCCCATATTGCGTATTTGTGCAGTACGTAAAAAATGAATTTCCGTTTCACTAAATGGATGATAGTACTCATCAGTCACGAGTCATCATAAAATCAAATGGATGCAATATATCAAGTACTCGCGGAAGATGTATTTGGGTGTACTATGGTATGAGCATGATTATAGGTGGATTTCTAATCATGGACGGGGAGTTAACACCAAAACCACAAAATGGATAAAATGCTCTAATACCTTTCTTTTCACCACGGTTTTATTTTTATAATTTATATTATTTAGTAATTCTGAAACAGTTAACAATGTTATCAAACCATTATCAAAAATGCAAAACAATGATCTTAAAAAATAAATATTTTATTTTTGTGTATTATAAATATTAAATTGTTAGAAATATATCAGTTAACTTTATTACTGATTTGATTGGACATTTATTCAAATGTACATAGTTCATAAAAATATATTTTTGTAGTTACAAACCAGTAGGTATGCAATTATTTCATTAAATATATCAAATGTTTTTATAATTTGTACCATCATATTTTTTTAATAAGTTTAATAGTGTATAGCATTCGTAGTAAGTATTGACTAAATGGTAAAAGTAGACAAGTTTTACTTATACTTTTCAATGTAATATGATATGCTTCAATTAGTATTGGCTAAATTGTTAAAAAAAAAGAAACAGTACATAGTATATAGCGGAAATATTCAGTTAAAATAGTACATTGTGAATAGGTACTTCGTACTTATAATAATATTTTGTTTAAACAAAATTAACTGGTTATATTCTCAGTCATGCTTTGTATGCGGAGAAAAATATTAAAACGTTTTTGACCTTTTCAATATGTAAATTTCAAATGGTTGTTTAAAGAATGTTAATGTAATAAAATGTACACTTATAGACCATAGTTGTTTACCTATATAATTATTTTCTTACTGTGCATAATATTACGATTTACCATACTCATGTCTCTCAATAAAAAAATAATAATTATTTCTATTTGTTTCTTTACGACTTTACAAAAATATCTATTAAGAATTTAAATTGAAAGTCTCTGGAACCTAGTCACGATTTAAGTTAAGTGTATCTTAAATCGTGCTTGTGGGTCACGGTTACGGATGTGTTAAATTTCAATTCAATGATACAAAAACATTGTATACGATTAAAACGATTCTGAGCAAAAACAGTCCGTCAATACTATGATTATATTTTAAAATTACAAAAGTATTACTAAAACCTTTATTCTCCGTTTAAATAGGTATCTAATTTCGTCCAAATTTGAACTTAAAAATATCTATTAAAAAAGACTGTGAATATATAATTTTTAGATTATTTGGTTGCAGTATGGAACACTTATGAAAAATTTTGTTTATCCCTTAAAAATGTTCAACCCTTAGCTATACAAATTTAACATTTTATAAACGTTTAACTGCGAGAGATGGAACTGTATCACATTTAGCTATTTGTTTATATATATATGTATATACTAGCTGATCCCGTGCACTTCGTTGCCCGCTGAAAATGCCATCTCTATATAAAAGACTTGATGGTGATAATGCCAGCAGTATATTATCAGATAGGCGATCCACCTGAATAATATTTTTTATTTTATTTGGTATTTTGATTGTGGACACTCCGATAAGCGGCTATAAATGCAACTCAGCCTCCTTGGTAAGCAATGTGCGAGGATTCGATTTCATGCATGCTTAAACCTGTTCAGCCCGATTAACCATTGGCAACCAAAAAACACAAAAAAATACTAATTTCCACTAAAAATGTAAGAAAATAAGTTATTAATTATTATTATTTATTGGTACGGCAGCCCGCGGGTTTCCAGTAACCTGCAACCTGACCTTTTTGTCCGTTAAATTATGTGTTTTACTTGACATTGTATATCTTTGACTTGTAGCATTGCGAGTTCCGCGACTTATGTTTGAATGTTTAATTGCTGACATTTTTAAAAACAAAAATATTCCATCAAAACTTACCAAAACTCCTAATATTATTGCAATGATCTGTTTTTTTATGTCAATTGTATAGCATATTATATCGTTTAAGAGTTATATTGATACTAATATTCGGTAACCATATAGTGTTGTTGTACGCTCGGTGCGTATTATCGTTATTATTATACAATTTACACGTTAAATATTAAAAAATATTTTGTGTGAGCCACCCTTTACATCAAGGGGCATGAAAAATAGTTTACTTACTCTCCTGAGACCTACTTAATATACACACAAAATTTCATAAAAATCAGTCCAGCCGTTTCGGAGGAGTTTAGTAACAAACATTTTTCATATTGTGACACGAGATTTGTATATAATGGATATATCAATTCATATACATAAATACGCGACATTTGAATATTTCTTTTCGCGCATAAGCAGTTTTCTTCTATTAAGAGACTCGTCATTTATATATGCTATTATTTAAATTATCGAGACATGGGTCCATCGATGGTATACGATCTGACGGACTAAAATAGACGGAACATGAATCATAATATTAGTCACATATTACATATTACACACATTTATGGGTCGGAGACAGACCGCGTCATCCGGTAAAAATGCATCCATATCAATATTATATCATAGAGTTTAACCACGGACCACGATTTAAGATATACGGGGTACTCAACGCCGTATAGAAATTGTTCTCCAGAGTGATTTTTGTCCGTCGATGTATGTACATCTCCTACCAATTTCGCCCAATTTGGCTAGCCACTGGGCGGTAAAAAGTGGAGGAAATTTGGCCTCTGCGCTGTTGAACGGAGTATAGTTTAAGACATTATATAGATTATTGAATTTTACCTACATCACTGCGAGATGTTGTTACGCCTGGGCTGGCCGCTCATAATGCTGTTTTAGCTAATATCGATGTTATTTTACTATACGCTGAGGAAAAAGGGCTTAAACTAAGAAAAATGAATAAAACCATTGGTTTAGTTATTTAACGCACTGACATAACTCTATATAATAAATCATAATATAAACTCCATAAATTATCCGCTAGATGGCGTGAATATTGATTTTTAGTCAATAACAGTTATTAATTATTGAGTATCTACCGACTACTTGGTTGTAAATAATTTTTTTATTTCATATTGATATTGAACGAAATTCCTAGTTGATGTTTTTGTGGTAGAACTAAGACAAAAGTGTCGTTTCTACAGCGTTATAGTCTCCCTCACAACACCGTTGTTCACTAATCACTGACGATTTAAAAACCGATGGTTTGTGTGAACCAATGGGATAACAGTACAGTAATAAAATTTGATAGGTTGTGGTCACGCCCTCCATAAGATTTATATAAAATGAATGCATCAGTTTATTTGCTTTTAATTACAACTCTGAACGATGAATCGTTTGTTTTGTTTGTTTTTTAATTCTATATAATTGTATATTTATCAATAATATATTGAACTTGAACAAAACATAAATAATACGAATATCTTTAATTCTAATGTTATCATTTTACATAGTTCTAATTATTCGACAGTAAAAGATTTGCTTTATTTCTAAATTGTTAAACTAACATTTATAGTAGCTTTATGACCGAATGCAAAAGTTTAAAATTAATATTTTACAACCGCAAACAAGGTAATATTGTAAAATCATACATTTATTAATAAAATTATAATAAATTATTCTTTTAAATTAATAAATGATAATTTTCATTATTTAAATTTGATATAACAATATTTTTTATAGATTTTATTACATCTACTGTAGAAACAGTTTATAATGACACTGGTTGTAGTGAAATAGTGAGTGTAATGATCTTAGATTAAAGGTCCCGGAAAAACTCCTTTACTGTATGTACTAATTTGTATCGGTTGTTATGACTGCGGATGTTATGACGTTTATTTTTGATTATATTGGAGAAATAGCGAAATTTGATTGGCTCTGAATAATGTAAATCCAAAGATAAATTTTGAAGAACTAGAAAAAAAAATAGATATTGATTTTTATTCTAACAAATTTCAATCTAAAATAACAGATTTTTTAAAACTATGATTGAATTAATTAAAATAATTTACATAGTTAAATGTTTTTATTTTTACTTTTTTTCTATATTTTACTTGCATAAATAAATAATAATAATAATAAAATGCATTGAAGTTACAATTTTTTTTTTCGTCATTTTGGTTATTATGACCCATTTTATTTGGTCCCTTGAACGTCATTAATCATTATAAACGGTTTCTACTGTAATACTTGATAGGCATAAAATTACGTTTTCTGGTAATACCCGTTGAGACATAATGGGAATATAAAATAAATTTTGTAACAAGATAAAGTAACCAAATATGTAATATAATATTAGGTTATTTAAAAGGTTATAAAAATACATGGGTCTTCACACTATCAATTGTGTTGTTATCATTATAAACTAATATAATGGCTACAGTTTTAAAAATAAAAAAAAATTCCAGAACATTTTAAATTAGCAATAATTGATAAATTAGGCGATGTACAATGGAAAAAAAAAATTATACTGGTATCTTAGAATTCTATAAAAAAAAACTTAATAAATCAATAACAAAATATAAATGAAAAAACTTGTTTAGGTTTTCTGTTTTTATAACGTAGCCTAATCTTCGACATAGCCATTATCATCGGTCTGATTGTTATCATTGTCGTCATCATCTGATATGACAATAGTATCGTCATATAATTTACTACGTGCACAATACATATGTTCAGTCTTATAGTCTTCACGATTACAACTGGGTTCTCCTTCAACTGTTGATTTCAATTGTACGTCAGTAGAATTCCCAAGTTCATTATCATTGTAGTTTCTATCCTCTCCAATCACGATCTCTTCTATTTCCCATTCTTGATCATGGGAAGGTGCACAATTATCGGCCTCAACATAATTCATTTCATACACAATTTCTTCTTCAATAATTTCATCATCCGCAGACGACTCATTAACTTCAACTTCTTGTATTAAATCACTGGCAAAACATGATTGTTTACTTGACATAGCATTCATTATGTCCCACTGTTTTAGGTATTCATTGTCTGATGTTTCAGAAGCGTTCATTTCCAATGGTTGTGTATCATTATTATCATGCATAATGGTTTCAGATACACAAGGGTTTGTAATATCCGCATCTTTAAGTGAGTATCTTTCTTCATTAATATTAAATGAAGAAAGATTGTTGATTGTATCAATTAAAATATTGATACCGTTTTCTTGAGGTTCATTTTCATTTTGGAAAGGTTTGTTTTGTATCTTAGAAAAAGTTTCTAATGAATCTGGTAAATTTGAATCATAAGTAAATTTAAATTTCATGCAACCAATTAATATTATTGACTCATTGCGCAGGATAGCAAAGCCAGAATAACCGTCTTTTTGGATGAGTCTCTTAGAGCACTTGCACTGAGCTTTTTTATAACCGTGTTTTGTATTCTTGTACATATTTAAATAATATTTTGACATTGGCTTGTAATTAAATCCATGTGTCTTAGCAGCATATTTAATTATTGGTTTTTCGTCGTCACTGTTGTGGGCAACGTGAATTATCTTATCTTTCTGAACTGTTTTTCTTTGTTTATTTATATGCTTTAGGAGTCCAGAATTGACTTTTTTCAGTTCATGGTTGTTGGAGGGTTTTCTGCGATTTCCAAAATAGGATACATTATCAACTATTACACCAAATCGACTTAGGTTTTTCAAAATAAAATCTCCAGTTTTCTAAAAAAAAAAAATGTTTAAACATGTTGAAAGTATATACTAAATAATTAAGTTGTATGACCACAATTACAAAAGTTAAAAGAACTCAAGCATAAAAGCTTTTTTTTCCTCAATTAATACAAACATTAATATTGATCACATTTATAACATTTAGATCAATTAAAAAAAAATAAGCTCTGCTAAGTTGCATATACAACTTTTATACAGATAAAAAAATATGAGTCAGTAATAATATTTCATACAAAAAATAAAAACACTTGACTTGTATGTTGTGGTCACACTGAAATGGTTTGCAAACTTTGTATACTAGGAATAATGGAACAAGGAGAATAAAATAATGGACGACATCAATAATACAACTGATACCATTATTAACCACTAGATGTCGTATTTGATAAAGCCGTTCCTAGAAACATTGTCACATTCGTTTACTCTTATATAACTTAAATTAGAAGTCTATGGTTTAAATGTTTACCTAACTCACAGCTTTTGTAAAAGTAAGAACCACCATTGATATCTCTGTTATGTTGGCCTAAAAGTGTATGTTTAGTGTAGTTGAGAATTCCATATCCGAATTATTTATGTTTTAAATAGAGCTCAAAGCGGGCAATGCACACAAAGTACTGCCATATAATTTTAAGTAACATTTCAAAGTTTAAATCAATATTAAAATAGAATACATTTAAATAGACATCTAAAATTCCGGGACAAAAAAAAAATGCAATGAGTTATACACTTAAAGAAAGGGCGCAGAAACGAGGACCTTATTTGAGACCCGACTGCGCATCATAGTCAAAACGAACTTTAGTCTTACTGGTAACCGTTGAAAGCCAATGAGATTCCTTGTATTGTTTTTTTCTACAAGGGGCACGTGGCACCGTGGGGTTTAACGTACGAAAACAAGTTTGGCGTCTAATATTTTTATAAACACCAGTATCGTTCAATACCGCACAGGTTTCTTATATTGCTGAAAAGGGAAATTCAATTATGATAATTCATAATCGCATACATTTGATTGAAAGTTAAAAATAAAAAATTAATTTATTATTGTTATAAAAAAATCGTTGTAAAAATAATAAATACCTACAGATATGAGATTTTACAATTTTAATATTGATTAAGAAAAAAATTAAAAATATATAGGTAATAAGATAAAATAAAGTATGTATAGAATAGATGATATTACTTAGATTAGAATAAATGTACATCCTAGTGTTTACAAATATTATATTACATTTATTTCATTTATGATGAAATGACTATATAAATTTTAAATAGTACAAATGTAATAAATGTGATTTACATTTAACACACATCGAATTACTTTTAAATCTATATTAGTTTTCGTTATATCATAATTAAATATAATATAATATATATATAGGCGGAATAAACACAACGCATTTAGTTAGAAACAAAACTAAATTTACTTTAATCAGAATTACTAGCAAATTTTTCCAAAAATTAAAAAAGGTAATGCTCATTTCAAGTCAACAGGGGGGTGCTGAAACAGTATTTCAAAATGTAACCATGAAGTTTTAAGATCATATTTAAATTTAATACGTATTATACTACCAACATTTAAATTTATGAGGGACTAACAATTTGAGTAACTGATGAAAAACGGCCGAAAGGTGAGTGACGTTCGGTGCTCATTTTTCGTTGGTTAAAACATGGAAAAATGTTTAGCTAAAAATTAAATAGACAATCTTATATTTCTGATTTACTTTATAAATATTGAAAGTAAATCTGTTGAATTACTCTATTCCAAATAAATTAGTAGAGGTTAGCGATTGAACAGTCTCGTTGGCTGCCATCAGCGCGATGCCGACTGTTGGCCAATCACAGCGGTCCTACTGTTCAGAAGCTGCACAGTTATTCCAAGCTTGGAATAGAGTATAATATGTTATTTTTAAGTGGTATCACCGGACACTCTTTACACTCAAGCATTACACATTTATTTACTCTAGCATAAATTTTACTTATTCTATTGTATACATACAGAATATAAATACGTTCTTTAAGAGTAAACAAATTGTTGTTCGTAAGTTAAATAATAGTGTTATGAAGTCAGTGCAACTTATAAAAACGACGGTTTTTAATTACATTATACTTTTGTATACTATATAGGTGTATTTATTTTCAACAGTCTTTAATAACATTTTTATATTGGAATGATTATAAATTAGTAAGAAATATCTATTATTTTGACATAGATGGATGGAAAACAATTCTAATGCATTAAAACAAAAAAATTAATTAAACTTATCTTTTAAATTACATTTTTAAATATTATTAACAAAATGGTCAATTTTAATAATTAAAAACAAAATGTCCAATTTAAAATAAATATTAACATGCTTTAATGAAATTTGAAAAATGTGTTTTTAATTTGATGCAGTCTCATTGTTTACATATTGGCTTTTATATTGGTAACATATTATTCAATGTATATATTATGTGAATGAAATAAATAATACCTAATTAAAATATTTATACAGTTTAAAAACATATTTAATACTCGAAATCTGTACAGTTTTGGTATTTATAATAAAACACTAGTCACTACAAATCAAATAATTTAAACTTTCTGTTGATTTGTATATTGTTGGATTACTGGATGATATCCTACAATAAAACTAGAGAATACACAAAATCATAATCTGAAGACTAATTATTTTTTAAGTAGATACAAAATTTAATAAAATTATTCAGATATATTTGTTCACTGTCAAATTTGGAATTTTAAATTTCAGTAAAGACTATAAATCATAAAATACACACATACAAATTTATTTATCTATAATAAATATAATAATATATTTAGTCTGTATTTATAAATTATTTTATAATAATTTGTTGTATAAGGAAAAACATGATTAGAAATGACTAGGATAAAAGTATTTAAAAGTTTGTTAAACTATTTGTAAAAAATTGAATACATACTTTATCAAATCTGATGGTGGCATGATAGTCAGAAATATACTCACAATTGCCATAAGGTTGCAAACACAGTTTGTTTTTATGGCCTATAAAAATGTATAATAATATAAAAAATGTTTTTTTCATAGATATTCTAATTAATTTTAGTTAAATAAATAGCTCACTCTTGCCAATTGTTAGAACTTCTCTCTGTACAGAAATATTTAAGGGTACGGATAAACAAGATAGAGTGGCACTACATTGTTTAGATGGTAAAGAATTTCTTTCTTGACATAATTTGTTTGAAATATCAAATGGAACATTATCAGCCTCTGAAATATATCAAAATATGATAATGAGTGTTTTTTTTTTATAAAATATAATATCCATTGGTCCTGAGAAAAAGGAAAATGAATGTATTAAATGATACTTACCATTTGTCTTATGATCAGCATTCATCGACTCCAATGCAAGCGTAGCAACATCACTGGAAAAAAGTACATAATTGTAAAATCATAAAAAAAATGTTGATTTTTTAAAATTACAATTGTTGTAAATACTGTGACATGATTATATTCTTAAATGTCCTAAAACCTAAAAATTATTACTGTATTAAATTCTAAAATATAATATATAACTTATGGTTTAAATTAGATTCTATGATCTCCGACATCCCCACCGTGTGGTATCCAGTCTTTACTTGAAGCTCAAATGAATTTCAGTATATAATAATGATATTTACTTAAACCTGAATACAAGAAAAGGCTTGTAACTAGACTGTGAGGTTAGGTTAGGTTAAGAGATTAAAGAATCTAATAGCACTCAGAAAAAAAATATTCGTTTCCTGAATCAAGAATCAAGAGAAGAGATTAAGAATAGAATCATGTTAATCTATCTATACATCTACCTATGTACCTATAGTAATAAACCTAGATTTTTTTGTACTCGTATTCCTTAAGACTACTAATCCAATTCACATGAATTTCAACAAAGATATTAGGCCGGCATAGGGGAAGATCAGTATCCATATGATGATCACAAAATATGCCTATCTGGCACGGGAAGTAAAGATATGAGGGTTTTGCTAGTGGCGCGCTCTAATGGATTAATATTCTATACACATAAAACTGTTGTAATCTATATTAACAAACATTTTAATTGTTGATTTATATTAAAAAAGGAAAAAACTAATAGTGGCGCAGTCAAACGGTTTTATATTTATCAACTATTGGAGAAATATGAATGTCATACTTTTATCCAGCATGAAATGCCCAAAAGAAGAGAATATTGGATATGATTGCTATCTGATTTTATTTTATACAGTAAAATATAGTGTAGTACTCTTATATTATTGAACAGTACTCGATAATTTGAATCAAACAAATTATTACGAGACAAGAATTTTTGGACAATTTATTTATTCATTTATAAATTCTATAGATATTATGTGACATCAGGTATTTTAGTGACTGTTAATACACAATGTTCATGGTTCTTCCATTTTCACAATGTATGTAAAGATTTTTTTTTTTGATTAAGATCACATTGAACTTTTGGACATTATAATATCAAAAGCTTCAAAGAAAAACAGAGGATAAGATTGAGATAAATAAAAGTCAAAATTGGAGATTATAAATACATCAAAATTGTATCTCTAATAAAATCATCTAAACCAATAATATTTCCGGATTTACTATACTCTATTCAGAATAACTTTGCCCACTCGTCCGACGAAAACTAGTCGGGTTCGCGCATGTCTGTTGCCACGACCAATCACAGTGCACCTGACTCTCGCCGGGGGTCTGACGACTTCCGGCGGCTCAGACGCTCAGTTGCGTGCGCTAAAGAATGGAGTATAGAAGCGATAATGTATATGAATAGAAAAATAAAATAAACCAACGAAATAAAATAAATAAAATAAGTGATATAAGAAATAAAAAGACAGATTGAGACAAGATGTGATATGTATAATTTGGAAGAATCAATGTTCACAAAACTTAAAAACATTTGAAATCTAAAAAAAACCCGACTGCATATACCACTATAATTAAACCTATGCATTGATGATAAATTCGTTAAAACAAAATTAAAAAATAATAATTTTAGATGTAATAGCGGTGGTTGAAAAATTGGTGAATTCGACACGATATATTCAAGAAATGGGATAGTTAAAAAAAAAATACAATTAAATTATGACAGTAATAAAGCAAGTCTTCAAAAATAAAAAAATTATAAATATTTTCATATTTTCTAGATAACACTAACTTTATGAAATGAAAATACAGATAAATTCCTCGGAAAAAAATAAGTTTATATGATAAGAGTAATAGAACATGATTGTTTTGAATAAGCAACCACCCATTAGTGGTTCTTGGCTAATGACAATTTTTTTTTTAAATGTTTAGTTATTATTATTTAGAGAGTTAGACATTAAAGTTTAGTAAGAGGTCACGGCTGGAAAAAAAAAAAAAAAAGATATGACCATTAAAATAGAACGAGCTCCAGTGAATTTCGCCATAAAAAATATTAACCTTCAATACAATATGGTATTGCACCATAAATTGTATGACTTCTGAAATGATAGGGTATTTATTTGTATAATATTAATTCATGATTTTCATGTAATTTATTATTATTGTTAAAAATCTCAGTTCCTACGAATGGTACTCCTCATTGAAATATGATACAGTGGACAAGAAAACAGAATAACCAAAACCATCCTCAACAAAAAATATAAATGAAATATAATATCGTATTATAATACTATATTTAGATATCGTTATTTCCGATTTCTTTGTAATTAAATTATGGTAAACAGAATGGATAATCATTCTATTTAATATCAGGCTAATCATAAAAACAATTCTTAATTAACTTAAATTTATTGTTTCACAACCCAGGCAAATATTATAATAATATATTGGTGTACCTGCAGGTCAATAAATATAACTATACAATTTCTTAGCTGATCGACCAATGGCCGCCCATAGACCGGGTAACCACAGCTATAGTGGTTCACGAAATTAAAGACTCGACTTGAGCGCGACAGGTGGTGTATAATCAGTAGGGCTACTCAAAATGTGCCTTAAAAAGGGCGTGTGAATTGATCTGCTACACACGGCCGCTGTAATACAGAGATGCGCTCAATAATTCCAAGTTCACAAGTTCACAACACTTATACAAAGTTTAAACGACACTGAAATCCAATATTTGACCACCAGTTGCGCTACTGTCGAGTCCCTTATTTCGTGAAACCCACTGTGGTACAGCACATAATACGTTGATTACTTGGCATAGATGACTACAGAATTTCCATCGTTACAACCAAAGTTTTGAATTACACTTTTTAATTTTTACATATTAATATCGGCGGCAACTTTGTTATTATAATTTTTGATATCCGTTATCACTCCGGCAACTAATAGATAATCGGTTAAATTTTAGACCGAATCATATGATTTCTTAGTAGAAATAATTTTAAAGTATTATTCATTTAAAATTTAACGAAATAATATGTACGTATTTAAACCTTAGATCATATACTATGGATGGAGCCATGTGTATTATTTAGTTGCCGATATTAGTGACGAGTCTCCAAATTGGGTGATCGATGTGCGCATTATCGGTGGATAAATATTCGAGAGGTTGTGTTGAGCATGCGTATATCGAATACCTAATTCGGTGACTCATCACTGATATCGGCAACATTTTTTTGTATTGATTTAATACGCTGTGGCTCCATCCATAGTATATGATCCAAGATTTAAACACCAATTGAAAACAGTTTTAATGATTATCTTATCGTAAATTGAAAAGATACTTGATATGATAAAAAACTATGTAGCCAAATATGAAATGTATGATATTTTAACTATAAAAAAACTATTTTTAATTACCATAGAATATTTAAAGATGAGTTTTCGGTTGATGTTGTTGGAACATTTTCTTGTGGCTAGATATAAACAATGAGTAAAATATTAACACTGATCATTTACTTAAAAGTAATACATTGCACGATATCATAAAATATTATGTTATGTTACTTAAATTAGCACTACGATTTAAGATAGCATGGTTGCACAACGATCTACGATAAAACGGTATACGATTTAAATCATGATTCCGGTGCTAGCGCTTTTAGTGGACTATTTTTAAATTGTTGTTAGTTCTTTAATATATATAGATACATATATTTATGACATACTAACAAGTAATATTACTATCAATCATCATCATACTATATAATTTACTAATAAATTAATAATCATAAATATTATTTATAATATGATTATTATATATTTAACATAATAATTTTTATTAGTTTTCATTTTAACCGATATGAGCGCTATGTGCGGAAGCGTCACAGATCACGTGACTTTTGATTCAAATCGTATGCCGTGTGATAACATTTTTCTAATGGGTCGTTGGGCATTCATATTATTTTAAATTGTGGTTGCACCCAAAAGCGAAGATTGAATGACCTGGAAATGAAATCTTAAACATCGGGCAACTTAAATTTAGAACATATTAAAACAGGGGTGCACTGAAGAAATCGCAATAGAAAAAATGAATACGGTACTCTGGTTGGTCACCAGCTAAATCAGTGTGACCATATTCGCCAATCTAGATATAAACTAGTAAAAATGATATTTTAAACGATTATTTTTCGACCGTTGTCTACTAAAAACTGGAGAACGGCGTGGACGCGTGGTAGCTGACCGATGTGAACCCCGAGATTACATGATTAACATCAGGAATTAAAATATACTGGCTATCCAACGACCTATATGAGTACCTATTTTTCTTGGACCCAAACTGACTTGCCAGAACAGCTGTTGCAAACTACACCTGTGCTTGTTATTATAATAGTGGTAACTTTTATCAAAATAATTTAACTTGAAATCTGTTAATGCCACAAATTTAATTAATTACGAATTTAATGAATGCTTAAATTCTTTAAAATAATCATAACATTATATCTTTCTATTTTATATATTTTTAAATAGTCAATCTAGTAGTATACATTTAATTCCCTTGCAGCGCTAGTATACCTTTACACTTTTGGAAAGTCAGATTTGGAGCTCCCTATCATGTATCGTTGGGTATCCAGCATATTTTAATTTGTGATTAAATAGTTTCAATTTATCACAGACAAACAATTTTAATTTAAATATGAATACATGAATGCATAATATATTCTGTTTGTTAAATTATAATTAATATTAACGAATTGTTTTATATTGAGTCATTTAGTAGTTAATAATATAATATAGAACCTACAGTCAAAAAGCAAGTTTTAGGTATATATTAGATTAATACAAAAATTGCACTTTTAAAATAATAATATAATAAATCAATACAAAACAGGCGGTAGTACCAGTACCTATAATATTAGTTAGTTGATGAAGTTTAATACAAGGGGAATGGACAAACACCAATGGACCTACTTTTTAAATTTATTTATCTTAATAACATTAGTTACTATGCCACTAGTTATTATTAGTTATGATCATTATCTACATTATGTACTACACTAATAAGTATTATGTTTTTCGAAGTAATCAATGAAATATTTTTAAAATATAAGAATAGTACAATTGTTTGACTCGCATGGACTTTAATTTCCTTTGTTATTTTTTTGGGACTTTCTTTTTACCTATCAGTTTCAATCTGTTGACATGGTCACGCTGATTTCAAGGGAATATTATAGGACAGTTATCATTTACATCTTCATGAGTGAGTGCACAATCTGTTTTCATCACAGACAAAAAAAAAATGGACATAGTTCAGTTTTTTTATCAGCAACTACACGCTAAATCTTGCATAACAATTTTATCCTATTACCTTTTTATACATTTTATCAATTTTACTTGGTATGTTGAAAAATTTGTCCACAGGTAAACTGGGCAGTTCACATCGATTCCTCTTTGTTGTAATACTTTTAGTACCTAATAATCCACAACCAGGAGTGAAAATGTCAGGATATGCTAATTCCTATTTTTTAAAAAATATGTAATATACATGCAATAATATAAACAATAATTAATTATTAATTGTAAAAAACATTAAATGACTAACAAAGAAATCATCATGTGCTGGACAAATCCACCTCATACTGTGATCCCAATCACGAATAGGAGGATCCAAACAATTGAGGTGGTAAAGTCGAATGCAATAATGACATTGCACCAACCGTCCTTGAAGAACACCTTTTTTACACACAACACATCTATCACTCTTCCGAATCATTTTTAGTTTATCCAACTGTTTTCTGGCAGGAAGTTTAACATCTGATAAAAAATAGTAACAATATCGAGTGTTAAGGGTGTATAAAATTAAACAAAACACATACTGTATTTGCGCTGTATAGGTACTTCTTCAAGGAATGATTCAAATGGATTGCACGGATATTCAAAATCAAATATATTTTTAATCTTGAGTCTAACATCTGCAAAAAAAAAATAATGATTTAATAAAATAATAATTTTAATTTTTTTTATGAAATTTGGTAATATGTTAAACTAATATCTAACCTTCATATTTATTCCTGAAAATTAGGATTGAAAACATCATTCTAAAACATACAATTTAACTAGTTAAGACAAACAAATTATAAAGCTGTAATCATTAAATTTCACTCACATAATCGATTCACATACAGTCCCCGCTTGATCCATGCCCATCAAAGAAATTATTCATTGCATGAATACAAATATTTACAGAACATAATAATATATTAAGTACTTAATAAAATATAGAATATAAATAAAATTATTTTACGGGGTATCTGAGCATTTTTCATATTGGCCACTGCATACGATTCCTGTACTTTTGCTACATAGTTCACAAGTTGTAGGATCAACCGTCTTAGGTGGATGTTGGAAATAAGACACTTCCAGTCTTTTTTTGTTGTTGACCGAATTTGGTTCAGCAATTAATTTCATTATTTCCTAAAAACCAGAACAATGGTTTAACAGCCGATTCAGGTACAGAAATATTGTTAAGATTAAAATCGAATGGTATAGGTACATTCACGATCGTCCCTACAAATCATTCTCAATAAAAAAATGGCCAGACACAAATCTCACGATGTGAAAAAATAAACGAGGCTGACGCCCCGTCCGTCCGAGCAACGCAGCACAGCTCGTCGCCGCGTTTTGCTCGGTCTGGTCGCAAACTCCGAAAACGAAAAGGTAAAAGCGACGGCGGGGAAAATGTCATGGCTTACCTTCATCAAGTCAATGGGTCCGGGCGAAACTGATTTTTTGGAGGCCATTGCGACGACGATCGAACTCTTGAGACGAGTCGATCACCGTGTGTGCGCGTATTCGTGCTCGGTGTAATGGACGACGGTTGACGCTGTCGGCGAGCACTAACGCAGTTTACAGTTCGCAAGAGTCTAGCGGCTAGACGACAACGAAACGACTAACCGACGGAACTCGCTAAATGGGCGGACACGGATAACACTCGGAACGCACGAAAAATGGAGGAGTCGGTCCGGCGTGGATGACGAAAAAAGTTGTTCGAGCGATCAAACGACCGTTGGACGAGTCGGGTGCTCAAAGTAGAGCGACGGTGATAGATTTCCACTAGAATAAATTAAACGCAGTCAGCCGCAAATTAGGTCGACAGACAATGCGGTTCTGTTTTTCTCAATGTCGAACAGGTGGTCAAGCGAGTGGCAAACGAGCCGTTCGGACGGTAGAATGAGAGCAACACAGTGGTGGGCGCGACAACTTGCGTGTCGAGTACGCGGGGCGCTCGCGAGTCGCGATGGACGTCCGTAGTATCGGACCTATCGACGGAGGACTACAATGGATGTCGGCGCGCACAAAGCATACAACTTTAAGGCACACGTAAAACTACGATTGTACTACGGTTGCTGTGGACCTGAGAAATCTAAGCCGCTGTGCAGTTATTGGTCCGCCGTTCGTTCGATACAACGCGAACACTGGGACAACATGAACGACTGCCGAACGCGTCCTAAAACGTATTTTTTATAACATAACTATGTATTTATGACGACGATATAAAAATAATGTGACGCCGGCAAACGGTACGAGTAGGAGAACAGACGACCCAACACGAGTTTAACAGGTTAAAAGGACTAAAAACTATACTACCAAAGTGATTATTTCTTTGTTTACGACCGCACCGACCCACCGACAGGGAGTCTTGTATGATTTCACTTTCCATGACGCCATGTGTATAATCTACCTCCGACCTCCATGCGTACAACCACAGAACAATCGTACGATTTTCGTTGTCTCTTTTTGGGTTTTGGTTTTTATCAGTGCGAGCAACACTGATTGCGTTGTTTCTCTCTCTTAATTTTTTTTTCCTTTTTTTTTGTGGTTATAAAATATAAACACGGCAAATGTGATTCTCAATCACAATTTTTATTCAAACCCCATGATAAAGTACATTGCAAGTACAAACTCCAAGTCTTTTTTTTCTGCCATTCCTAGGTACTCTTAGATCTCGGTCGGGAACTTCATTGGAAAAAAGGGTAATTTACAACGGTACCGATGGCGCCCAGAAGCACTCTTAGTAGGAACGATAATTCTATGGCGGAACGGCGGTTGAGACCGATTTATGGTACTCAAAGAGTTGTCACTCGCTTCGACGTTCTTAAATTTAATTTTTGGTTTTTTTTTTTTACTTACAGAGTGGATAGACAATGGAAATTATAAAAAGGCCTTGCACGAGTTGGACAAATTAATAAAAAAATTACCCAGTCAGAATTGTTCTAAAGTATGAACCAAATGTTTATACTAGATATAATTCTTTTAAGTAGACTTGTATTCAAATTATTTGGTATTATAATCATATTTGATTTCATACAGGCATTGAAGAGCTTAACATTAGTTCGACTTGGAAAAGACCAAGAGGCACTAACATTGTTGAAAGAAGTTAGAGAGTGCAAACCATCTGATGAATCGACATTACTTGCGTTGACAGCTTGCTATAGAGAACTTAAAAAACGTAATATTCATAGTATTTATGTTAAAGCCTAAGATATATTTTATTTTAACTCTATAGCTCATATGGTATGTGAAGTATATGAAGATGCTTTACTACAAGATCCAGTCAACGAAGAGTTATTGTCTAGTCTTTTCATGTCCTATGTCCGTGTTTGTGATTACAAAAAACAGCAGCAGACTGCATTAGCTCTTCATAAAGTTAAACCAAATAACCCATATTATTTTTGGGCTATAATGAGTATTGTTATGCAGGTACATTTTAAGTTAATACAAGTATTACTACCATCTAGTCAACAAATAGATTAACACCTTTCTTTTTTTGCTAGGAAAAATATTCATAATCAAGGATTTATTAATATTATTAACATTGTCTTATTACATATAATTTCATAACTAAGATAAATATTATTTTAAGGCATATCAAGCAAATGATGAAATATCAAAAAGAATTACTTTACCATTAGCAGAACGAATGGTACAAAAATATATTAACGAAGACAAAATTGATGCTGAACAAGAAATTCAATTGTATTTGATGATATTAGATATGCAGGTAAAATTGATTTTATGCATATTCAAACATAAATTACATTTTTTTTTTAAAGTTAAATATACTTTACTAATTTTTTAGAAAAAATACAAAGAAAGTTTAGATATTCTTAATGGACCACTCGGTGAAAAACTACATCGAACTGTTGGTCTCACGCGAAAAAAAATTGATATTTACTTTGAATTGGAAATGTATGCTGAAGCAAACTCATACCTAAAAAGTTTACTCCTTAAAGAGTAAGTCATTTTTTGCGGTTTATTTTATCTTATTGACATTTATTAATATTTAATATTTTGTATTTGAAATCAATCTTTAAAGGTACTTTTATAATTTTACACAAAAAAAAAAATAAATTATACATGTGGACTTAGCTTACACAGTTTAATATTATCATTTTGTACCAAATGATTCATAATGATTCACAGATAAATAAAATATTAAGTATATATTTTTTTTTTAACTAATTTTATAAATTCTTCTGTAGAATACTAGAACCATTGATTAAGGTGTTATGGTTATTTTAGATGAATAGGTAAACTTTTTTAATTTAAAATATTTAATGTCATTACTATTTACTTACACCAAAGAAAATAAGTAGGAATTATATTAGTCGTATTTTTTCTTTAAGAATAAGTTATTTTTAATAATATTTTAGTATAATAAATTGAAATGTGTACATTTTGTACGACCTTAAATAACTTACCCTTATACATACTTAGATTAGATTGAAATAATAATATAATGTTTGTTCATTGTATTTCATATCCCTAATTGCACAAAGTTAATTGTTTTAAGTTAATTTAAAACAATTACATTATTAAAATTTTTATTATCTTGTTTGGAAAAAAAAACATAAATATTATTAGGTGTTAAACTTTCTTTAAGGTTTTTCTATAGTTAAAGGTTTAGATATCTATATTTAAATTATGATATTTTTTCTAACATACATTTATTTATTTAACAGCATAGATTCGTGGATTTACTATACTAAATATTATGATTCATTATTTAAAATAATTGAATCTAAAGATAAGTACCTAAACTGCAATGGCAATACTGATCATGTACCTCACTTTGACTCGTCTATAGAAGAAGCTTTGTTGTTCCTAAATGAATTGCAAAAATTAAATTCTGAGCAAAACTATCCTCAAAGAGGAGTATACCTCGCTCGCCTTGAGTTATATTCTAGATTAAAAGAAAATGCTTATAAATATATGGGTAAGATAATTTAGTTAAATAACAATCCAATACTAAAAACATACATTGTTTGTTAATTATCCTTGATTAGTCGCCTTAATTTTTTTCGATTCTAGAAGAATTTATCAGTTATCATAATAGTAATTATTTCAATTATTCTTAAATTGTTAGAACATTTTATACTTGTTAGTTACCTTATTTTTTTGTTAGCTGTTTTTGTTCCCAAATTATATTCTATATTATAAATATACTATTTCAGGCGATGCAGTCAATCTTTTAACTGAATATTTTAAGATATTTGGACAAAAGCCATGCTGTTTTTACGATCTAAGACCGTATATGTCACTTTTAAAAGAAGAATTACTTGATGAGTTTTTGAAGGTATTGGATAAAATTGTTGATTTAAAAGAAGGAGAGTTCCCAAAAACTGTGAGTACCTATTGCTTTTAAGAGATATTTATTAAACATAATTCCATTAAAAAATACTGTGGCTAAATTTTACTCGCATCAGTGAAATGGCTCCACTGAGCAGGATAACACATTCATTAAATAACACTGATATTTAACATCATAGTCACAGTATTGAAAACAATTATAATTATTTACATATATCTATATCACTAATTTTTGTGGATAACTTATAATTTATAATATTTCATATATTTTCAGAAACCTCAAATGGAATGTTATTTATCATTTCTCCAATTAGCTAGACATGTTGGAATTCATGACCTCATGAACACAGAAGAAAAGTTAAAACTTGCTGATCGCTTACTCAGGTGCTATCACAGATGTGAGATATTTAATAATAGCAAAAGATCTTCAGAAATAATGTAAGATAACATAATTGTTTATCTTGAAAATTATATTTACTGGAAATATTTTCTATTAGGGCAAATGACACTTTTGTTATAATGATGGCACATTTAATGTATGACATTTGGGTTGAAAACAATAGACTCACATATATAAGGGAAGCAACTGTTGTGCTTGAGTATGCGTATGCTCTAAGTCCCTCAAACTTCCATATAAAATTGTTATTATTAAAATTTTACCATATGTTAGGTAACTATATTTCTATTTTACATAATATATTAATTGTTTTTTACTACAATAATAATGTTTTTTTTTTTTCTTCTTAGGAGCATCTGATGCATCAAATTTAGCATATATAAATTTAGAAATAAAAAATACTCAATTGGATTCATTAGGTTACCTACATACTTTTCAATTGTTCAATGAAGGTCGTTTCCAGAATGCATCCAAACTGTACTCTACAACTGTCAGATTCTTCTCACATAACTATCGAGAGGTGAGAAAACAATGCAAAATATCAGATTTTATTTATATCATTAATTTTATTGAATGTTCTTTTGCTTACATTTTTTTTTAGGTTGCGGATCATTTAACAATATCATACAAGTTTGGATCTTTTATCAAAATTATTGAATTTGTAGAATTTAGAGAAAAACTAAAATATTCTATTCATAATTCTATGTGTATTGTTGAAAACTATTTAATTTCGTTACTTGATGTTGATAATCTGGAAGATTGCTTAGAGGTATTTCAAATATTAATTGATTTAACTAAACATTATTGGTCACAATATAAATTGTGTGTTTCATATTTATTAGATTGTATTAAAAATGAATGATGTGCCTGAAATTGCTTCAAAATCACAGCTCAAAAAAATGATTAATAATAGAGACTATTCAGTTCTAATCAACTACAATCCTCCTACACGATGCTTAACTACAGAACATGCAAATCAAATATTTTCTCATGATTTGCGTTTACTAGAAATCCGTGCTGTCTTATTAAGTTGTATTTATTACAGCGCAAGAATGTTAAAACAGTTCAGTGCTCGAAATATTAGGTCAACTTCTGAAGTAAATGAAATTAATCCTGATGACGAATCTCTCAATTCAGATGGCTTAGAACAATTGGATTTTCATTTGAAAAGTCTGATAAACTTAAACAGTCAATTGGAAAGTGATCCTCCAATGCCAGTTCCTAATAATGTATTTGGAAGTTTTTTTGGATCTAAGTTATTTGGCTTAAATAAATCTAAGTATATGTTGAACATTGTTATCAACTTCATTGAACTGATACAAACAATAGGATCAGATGTAAAAAATTCTGTTTCCCCAGATGATGAGTGGACATCAAAAATGAAAATTAATGCTAATGAACTAACCATTGCATTTGAAAAGTCAATTACTTATTGTAATTCTATCATTTCAAAAACAATTAATGAAATAGATTCTAGTCTAAAATTAGAAGGAAGAAAAGAAGTATTAGAAATACTTACAAATATGATAGATGTAAGCAGTATTATTGTATTTATTATTACTACTAAATAATGGATGTTGGTTTTTAAATATTTTATTTTTTAATTTTCAGACTTTGAACATTTCATGTGTATTTCTTTCCTTAGCAACATACTTTATAAAAAGTTTTCAAAACAAAATAGTTTCTGATCCAAAGAAAACAAAAGCAAAACGAAAAACTCATTCTTCTTCCTATAATTCTGAGGTAAACATTTTTGATAATAGACATTATATAATTTATTAAATTTAAAATGTTGGCGTTGTGTGTATCCTTAGTTGTGTACGCTCTCTGAGTATATACACAGGTCGGCGTTGCTAGCTCCTGGGTGGGTGACAACCCGGGATTTTTAGTAACAAAATTCTTTCCACACATACAATACATGTTCCAAACCAACCATTCCAAAAATCATATAAATTTTTTTTTAGGCTCAATATAAAGGCAAATCAGAAATTTTACGTGAGGTTGTGAAAACTGTTCAAAATAGCACTAGTCAAGTACTTGTTAGTGTAAAGAATGTGGAAGAAGCATGGAATCGTATGGGATGTGGCAATTCCAATTCTTTGATGTTAAAAAAACATGATGCAGACTATACAGTTAATAATACTGATGAAGGAAAGGAAGCTGACAAAATACGACAGATCACTGCTGACAGGTGGCGACAGTTAGTAGATACTATTGATAAGAAGATAGGTGACAGTTATAGTGGAGCGTTAGATGAAATGGTAAAAATACTAATAAAGAAACAAACACAAATCAACAAACTACCAGCGTTTTAAATGGTAATTTATAACTTTAAGAATACATGTAAATATTTTATATTTATTACAATAAATTGGTACCTAAAAATATATGAACATGTAATTGAGCTTTGAATTTTAGTTTATATGTCTACTATTTACTATTGACCTTAACATTTTAAGGTACATCATTGTATTCAAACAATATTTAATACATATTCATTTATCTTATTCAACTATAAAAATTTTTTTTTTAATTTTTAAAATAAATACATAAATTTTCATTTTTCTTAACCAGACTATAAAAAAATACAAATTAGTCACTTTGGTTATTATGTTGCAGTAATTCATTACCATGTAAAATCTTAAGTTTTATAAATAGTAACTTTAATTATTGAATTCTTCACTCAGAATTGTGTATGAATGAACAAAAAAAATATTTTGCTGCAATAAAAACTGCAACCTAGATGTCTCATATATATTGTCAACATTGTAATAAATAACTTCCGTAACCCAAAAAAGTAAAAATATTCACAGCCTGCATGGAAGTTTTTGTGTGTAAAAAATTATAAAATATGCCTAAATATTATGTTTTTTTACTAATTCTTTCACTAACTTATATTTCACATTTTTATTTCCATCAATTATATAGTTATACTCCTTAATCATATTTAGTATAAATTAAAAATTATCCAGTAAAAAATTGACATTTTAAGTACTTCGTAAACTTTCAAAGCAATCAAATTGTTTTGACTGTATGAATAAATCTTACTAATTACTGTTGGTTATGAAAATATATTGATGAGTTTCTATTCGATATATTTAGTAAGGTTTGCTAATAAATCTGTCATGGTGTTACATATTGTTAATGACTTAATCATGACCTATAATATTGATAAATATGCTAAAATTAGTTAAACTTGTATTTTTAGTTTTTATCTGACAAAATAGTTATATTTCTATACACCAAGAATTAAAATATTTTCAACAAATAACGAACAAAAATGTATTATTATGAAAACGGTTTTATTACTCTTTTAATATATGTGTATGTATATTTTATTACAATGTTTAATACTTAAGCTTGGACTTTAATACATGGGTTGATTTAAAGAAATAATATATCATTTATATATCATTGCAATCTACAAATTGGTAAAATAACCCTTGGACTCTTTAGTTTAGATTTATAATTTTTTACAAAATTAATTTGTTTACGTTAAAATGTTAAATTCAGTCTCATTCTATTCTAGCTGTCTCGTCCAGCATTGTCCGTGCCAAAGATTTGTTTTTTTTTTTATAAAATTGTTTGAAAAAAAAATGTATAGCCCATATTTCTAATAATTATAATAAAAATAATATGTATAATACTACCTATATTATATGTAACCATTGGCACCCATATAAATTAACAAAAAACGATATAAACGTGGCAAGTTGATTTATGATATTACCACATCTGCCCTAGTTTCTCTATCAGGAAAATCTCTGAATCATAAGTATGTTTTTGTTTATAAGTAACCATGACAACAAAAACCTTACAAAATATCGGTCAGAAACCGGTGTAATCATTCTCAAATTTTGGTTAGGTTTACGAGAATGAAAAGAATATCATTTTTATTATAAAGATTATTTATTATTTTTATTAGAAAAAAAAATCGTAATCTTTCTTAGACAGTTATATCAAATAGATTGGTACTGACTCTTTCAACATTTTTTACAGTTATAAACGAATATTAAATGTAAGTCGTTTTTACAACATTATTATTCAATTTCAAAATAAAAAGTCTTGTGATAAAGTAAAAGAGAACACCAAGTCTTTAAATTGTTTAAAAAAATGTATGTTCAAGTTTTTATAACTAACCATATGAAAATTATCTTAGTATATATTCTTATACTCTTAGTTTGTTTTGTACAATCAATATTTTTTCAATGGACTTAATTGTAATGGTTAAATTGATGATTAAATTCAAATTTTAAATTAAATTGAAAATTCACAAAATATATGTACCTACTTTCAATAGTGTTCAAATTGTACCCTAAATATTAACAATATAAAATAGTTAGAAACGCTTAGGTTACTTTTGAAATTTAACAGACTGCAAATGTTGTTTATGAGTGATTGGAATAAAAAAGTAAATATTATACTATTATTAAATCTATGTTTTAGCGAGTACAATTATCTTTGATTTATAAATGTCCATATTATATACACAATTTTTACAAACCCTTTTGTACATAAACATTTGTGTCAAATTGAATTTATAATGTTTCTATAATAACAATAATATCCCAGAATAGAATAATATGTAATATATATAATATAATGTATGTAGTATGAAGTATACATACATATATATGAACTACATAGTAAAGTATAATATACATATTATACCCATATGATAAGTACTTTGTATTTATTAAGTTAAATTAATAACATAAACAGTTTTTATGTAATTTACAGTTTTATTCATCAATTACTTATTGTTATTTGTTTGTGTTTACCTATTATAATTAATTTTTTTTGTATGTATTCAATAAAATTATGTTAAACTAAATAAAGTAAAATATGCAACTATTAAGCTTGTATTTTTAGATATGTATTAGGTACACATTATTTATTACCTATAATATGATGATACAGCATACTGTTTTCAATCAATGTAAAAAACTATAAACATGGGCACATGGCAATATGAGAGTAAGTCACACCTAGTCAGTACTCAGTAGTCATTAGTAAAAGAAAATAATTAACTTGCACTGTTATAATACTTAAAGTAGGTAACATGTGGAGAGATATAAATCATCTTTGATCAGTGAACATCAGTAACAATATGTCTTCTAAATACTACCTAACTTACCACTTGCACATTCAGTACAATTAAATTGAAAAAGATTGACAAGCCAGTACCCGCTGTAATGAATCAAAACTGAGCTTGCGCGTTGCTATTGATGAAACCTTACTTTATAATAATATACTAACTAGGATGTATAGTTAAGTGCTTTTTATAGAATATAAATGATGGGAATTTAAATGTCGACTTTGTTTACTTTATTTTTATTCTTTATTAAAATCTATAAATTATTATTATCATTAAGAATGTATTTTAGTAGGGTTAGTGAGTAAAGATTTATATAAGGAGATTATTTTACCTAAATTACCTAGGCTTGTATGCCTATTTATTTGATGATTTAATATATTAATATTATTACATTTTTCATTGGTTATGAATGAATATATTAATATAATTTCTTACGTGTGTACAGCGAACAAATAGGTATTGAGTATCTTCTTTTATGGAGAGCTCAAGAGATGAAAGTCCATAAAGGGAATGAACTCAAAACAAGGAATTACTTCTTAGGTAGTTAAATTACTTTAAACACTTTAAATTGAATAAAATAGTATTGATTGAATATCTCGCAATAAGTAGTTATGGTCAACGTAATGAAGTAAGGCTAGTATTATACCAGCTCTGAACATATGCACTATATGAGACAGGTATGGCTGTTATGAACAAGGTGAGTTGCTGAAGGCAGATAGTTTGTAGTATCAAAATTGGGCCCTACTTATATCATTGATCTACTGCACTTGTTGTTCAATTTCAAATTGTTAATGTTTATTTGAAAAGGTTATAGGTACAAAATGCGTTATTACAAATGCCTATTTTGTCATATTATTTAAAATATATAAATATATATATGATTATCTTAAGTGATATAAATATTTTTTAATTATAGTAAAGTACATGGTACAATTATTTTATTAGGTTTTAAGAGACATAATTAATAGTATTATGATGATATTAACAGTGCGTAGCTTTTGAGTGAAACGATAAAAATAAAATAAAAATAAAAAATAAAAAACATTCATCGTTTCACTCAGAATCTAAAATTAAAAATGTAGAGTGACCGATCTCAAGTAGACTTGACGACAAATCCAAATCTGTTTTCAGAATTCTTATCGCTTCACTTTATCAATCGGTACGTTTGCCGAAAAACACCTCTGAATTCTTATGTTGCGCGTGTGTTAGACAAAGACAGTCGTCACCGCCACCGATCCCCTTAACAACCATAATTTAATAGATTGCTTATATTATATTTTATATGACGTACCATTAATAATTTGCAGCGGAAATACCTGTTATAGGTATTCACTTTCCTGTACCAGAAAAGATTCTAAAGTTGAAAATCGAATCAGTTTTTCTAGTAGAAAGACACATAATTATAAAATCAATACCTATGATGTGCATCGCTCAGCTAGAATCTATAATAACTAATATGCACATATGTGAGTGGTATTACATTGAATAATACACCTACTGAGTACTGTCAGTACTGATGCAGACAACAAGCCAACAACTAACAGGTACCTACCTAATAGGTAGGTACTATTATTTTTTAAATGTGATGACCTATGGTATGTATAGGTAATATATTAATTTGTTTTTGTAGTTACATAAATATTCAAAAATCAGTTTAATAACTAATAACCTATAGGTGATCACAAATAAATATGAAATAACAAAAATTTTATAATTTTTTTTAAATCGGTCTTGCACGGTTCCGGGATGGACGATGGTATTATGGTAAAACTGCCGGAATCATCATCCAGCAACGATATACATACGTAATAACTAATAATCAATTTGTAATATATATTTGGATTATAGAATAGATATTTTGAGTTCATTTTGCGCCATGGATTTGGAAAGTATTCCTTATTTATATTTTCGTACGCTTATCAAATGGAATTTTGAAATCTATAGGCACTATAGCCACTATAGGTACCTATTATATAGGTACATAAAGATTCATATATCGGTGTATATAAAGGAGGCCACATCGAATATCTGGAAAACAGACTATTGTATGTTTAAATTACTGCAGAGCCAGACAAGTGATTGGTCGGACGATTTGGTACATTATTGGTACCTACGTATCTATTCAAAGCATGAAAATCATAACCTTTTATGCGAATATCGATAATAGTACCCGTAAGTATAGGTAGGTGTATGGCCCATCATTACTTTCATTCTATAGAATTGAACATATTTATATTTTATATACTCGTAGCTAGTACTCACCTCTGTATATGTAAATACAATTTATTCTAGAATAAATGTACCTA